TAAGAGTATATCACAGTTCTCTCTCCCTTGCATGAATGCTGTTGGTCTCTTGTTTATGCACTACTGCCTGGTTATGTTCCACTTATGGCAGAAAGAGCTTAGATAATGGTTTTTATCTTCTATTATTGTGAGTGTGGGAAGATGGCTCAGAATTCAATTCACCCACTGTCCTGATAAACCCTATGGGAATATTCTGAGTCTAGAGTTATATCACAGTTCTCTCTCCCTTGCATGAATGCTGTTGGTCTCTTGTTTATGCACTACTGCCTGGTTATGTTCCACTTATGGCAGAAAGAGCTTAGATAATGGTTTTTATCTTCTATTATTGTGAGTGTGGGAAGATGGCTCAGAATTCAATTCACCCACTGTCCTGATAAACCCTATGGGAATATTCTGAGTCTAGAGTTTTCTTGGGGTGGGTTATCTTCTGCAGACATGGCACTATTTTCCTACAAGCCCTGTCCAGTGAAGGATTTATAACCCAGCAATCCGAGGCCATAATTTGTATTCCTGTAACCCAAAAACGTCCAGCTCCTCTCTAAGTGCATCTACAATGCACCATAGCTTGAAATAAGATAGGCAATTTGAACTACACAAGTTGCGTATCATATTTCGATCTTATTTCAGAATAATTTAATTCATACTTTGGCGCTGTCTACATAGTGTCAGATTTCGAAATAACCCGCTATTCCAAAACGTCCCTCACTCCTCATGGAATGAGGTTTACAGAGATGTCAGAATAGTGAGTCCGCTATATTTTGAAATAATGGGCTTGCTGTGAAGACATGGGATAGCTATTTCAGGATACTCCAGTATCCTGAAATAGAGTTGCAGTGTAGATGTAGTCTGTGTGTGTCTGTTTCTCCCTCACACCCCACCCCTGATGTGCAACAAAGTGGCTCATTCCAGACAAAGAGGACCAATCCCTACTGGAAACCCTGGCCATGCTGGTGATGCCTCAGATCTATTAGCAAATGTTTATGGTAATCCTAATCCCTGACATCTGTGGAGGGGGGAAATTTAAGAATAAGAAAGCCAGTGGCAGATGAATGATTTTCTTTTAAGATACTCTGTTTCTGCCTGGTTTATTTTTCTATTGCCCTTTGCCTTAGAACCTTCCATACTATGTTATTGATATTATTTTCTACTGCACTCCGTGTCTGTGTGCAGTTTTAATCCTGATGAAAGTGAGGTGCTGATAATAAAAGCTGGAATCAGGTGGAAGGTGGACTGGTGCTGAGAGAACTTTCACCTCCGAGTGTAGTTCAGTCCTGACCCACAGCTATCTATTCCCCCATTTGTGGCAATGCACCTCAGCCCTGGCCTGCTGTTTCCCTGCTGTTCTAGAGCAGGGTTTCTCATAACAAAAATTTTGGAGGCCGCAGACTGAAGTCACCAACACTTACGGGTGGCAGCTCTGACAAATTTTCTTTAAATACTTAATTACCTATGCACCCTGAGGTCCTTTTTGTGGCCTCTCACAACTCTCCTTGCCTCTTGACGATAGCACCAGATAAAGCCAGTACTGCTGAAGCCTCACTGATGTAACTGAAGCCCAAAGCAGTAGCCTTATGGCTGAAGTAGGGGGACTGGGAGGCATCAGGCTGAAGCCCAAAGGCTCTTGGGGTGGGGAATAGGAGTTAAGGCTGCCTCTAGAGTCTGTCAGCATTGCAGGTAAGGGCCACTGATTTTTCATGCATCCCATCTCTTTCCAGGAAGCTGTTGTGGTCACAGGAAAAAAAACAACAACACATAATGGCCACATGCAGCCACAATTGCTGCATTTGAGGAATGCTATTCTTGAGTGTATGTTCTAAAAGTAGTATGTAAACTCCATTTGTCCTCTCCTTATTTGTATGTGTCTCACCTTCTCTTCATTTGCCTTTGCCTGGGCGATAGTGATCATCATGTGTGGCTCCCCAGATGAAATCGAGAAAATCCTAGGGCAAGAAAGACTGGATGAAGACATAGTCATCATTCTAGTGGATCTTCACAAGTAAAGTATCACCAATGATTTTCCTTCTCCTCCTACCTCTGTTTCCTTCAGGATGGAGATAATGGAAATAGTAAAAGGGAAATACTCATGATGAGACATTTCACCATGAAACACTTCCCACTCACCTCTTTTGTAGTCTTCTTGGTCCCCTTTTAGCCAATTATCAGAGCATGTTGGAGTCTGAATCAGGATGCATTTTCTATCACTTATCCAACCCATATTAGATTTTTTTCTAAAGCATCTAAATTTTGGACTGTGATGTCATAATCAGTCATGACCTCACTGCAGGATGAAATTATAGAATAATAGAAATCAAAGTTGGACTCTAATGTCTTTTTTTATTTACTTCCTCCCTAATTCACCACCATCA